GGCTACACAATTTGCCATTAGCGGTAAATCGAAAGTATAGCTGAGCCCTGAGCCTAACAGAAGCTTGGTTTTCAGCTGGCTATTTTTGTAGTTTTGGCCTGGAAGTGATGAACTCTTGGGGGCATGAGCTCAAACTGGAATAGAGAATTGTTCTTCACCCGGTTACATTCCTCGGCCTCTGAGGTATTCTCCTGAAGTGAATCTCTCCTCTAAGAAGGGAGAATGGAGAGGAGCCCCAAGGTGTGGAACAAGATAGAAAACCGTGCACAGAAGAAAGTCTAGTCATGTCTTGTAAAGGATGTATACCTTAAGTTCCATACTTCACACCATCCAAATATATGGACCTTCTCCATTGGGTGCTGTAGGAACCACACGGCTGACGTCAACAGAATTCAAATATCGCCGGCGCATATTTATACGTACGTAACGTTTGTTTTTTATCTCCTCCGGGAAGTTCTCCAGATTTGATTCAATATATTTACCAAAATCTTTTTGGCTGGGTCGAACCAAGATCCCACCCTACAGGTCAAGTCAGATGGTCAACCCTCTTGATTCCACACATTGCCAGCCACCATTTTCATCACCCAGAATTCTATATAATGGACCCTTCACCTGGAATTCCATACAACGGACCCTTCTTCACCCAGAATTCCATACAATGGACCCTTCACCCAGAATTCCATACAACGGACCTTTCTTCACCTAGAATTCCATAATGGAGCCTTCTTCACCTAGAATTCTATATACTGGACCCTTCTTCACCCAGAATTCCATATAATGGACCCTTCTTCACCTAGAATTCCATATAATGGACCCTTCTTCACCTGGAATTCCATACAACGGACCCTTCTTTACCTGGAATTCCATAATGGACCCATCTTCACCCAGAATTCCATACACTGGACCCTTTTTCACCCAGAATTCCATATACTGGACCCTTCTTCACCCAGAATTCTATATAATGGACTCTTCACCAAAAATTCCATACAACGGACCCTTCTTCACCTAGAATTCCATAATGGACCCTTCTTCACCCAGAATTCCATATACTGGACCCTTCTTCACCCAGAATTCCATACAACGGACCCTTCTTCACCCAGAATTCCATATAATGGACCCTTCTTCACCTAGAATTCCATACAACGGACCCTTCTTCACCCAGAATTCCATATAATGGACCCTTTTTCACCCAGAATTCCATAATGGACCCTCCTTCACCCAGAATTCCATACAATGGACCCCTGTTTCCTTCCAGGCCTGCTTTCCTGTGTGTCCCGTTTCTTCCTATAGACTTCAGTGTATTTCCACAACCTATGGAAGGGAATCACACAGTAAGAGGTCTCCCTTTGCTCCCATGAGGCAACACAGGCTTTCTATGTGGCCGAAGTTCAGGAAGGAACCGACGCTGTCACGTGTGGGCCGGGATGCAGACCTTAGCCCTGTGCATGGTCCAGCCGGAGCAGCTTGGAGCTTAGAGAAGGGTTCTTCTCTGTGCTCCTATAAGCAGCTGGTGGGACGCATTGACATGAACTTGTTGCTACGCCCTCCATAGGCAATACCTGGACTGACCCGCATTGGTGGCTTCATCTGCCCTTTAAAGGTCATGTGCTTTAGGTCTAGTTCTTCAGATCAGCAGATTCCCCGTAAGGAGATGACACACATATGAAAGCTCTTCAGAGAAGAAACAAGAATGTCAGTATGGTAGAAGGACATCCACTGTGACTGGTAAGGGTTAACCTGTTTGAGGGGTATAATAGTGCTAACATAGACAGTAGCCATGTGTAGATGTAGAAAATGTTTTAATAAAACAGTATTATTTGCACATAGTTTGTCCTTTCATTCCATGAAGACCTCCAGCCATGGTCCCGTCCTGGTGCCAGAATCTCCTTTAGGGCAGTCTTTCATCCAGGGTGCTGTGGAATCATGGCGTGCCTTCTGGCTTCCTCTGGCCTTTCCATGGTGCAGGTGGGCCTGGTGCCAGCACCATAGAAGCTGATGACGCTAAGCCAGGGAGGGTGGGATCCATTTAGGACTGAAGTTGGCTTCCATCCAGGCCTGCTTCACTTCCCTACCTCTGCCATGCTACTACATCCTGATGTGAAGGGGGGACTGAGGACTCAGAAGTGAAGGAGGCTCCTGATATGAAGGAGGGCTTCTAATATAAGAGGGGGCTCCTAATGTAAATGGGCGGTTTCTGATGTAAAGAGGACTCCTGCTGTGAAGGGGTGTGGCCGCAGATCATGGGGCCCCATAGCAAACTTTTGATGGGGTCCCTCAGCAACCTCCCTACTGCCAACGATATTAAAGTCAGGTAGCAGGAGAGCTGCCTGCATA